GCCCTTGCTGAGCTCGAAAGCCTCAAGAAGATTGTAGCCGGGTTTTCATCCAAGAAGAGGCGACGAAACAAGAAGAAGCGGTATGTGCACTTGTTGTTCACTGTTAGTTTGTCACGCCTAACTCTCTTTCAGCGATGACACTCCCTCCGACGATGAGCTCGAAAACGACGCGCCGGCTGCCAAGAAATCCAAGAGGGCCGGAACCTCCTTTCCTTCTCAAAGCTACGAGGGCGTAGGGCGGGTAACTATGCGCTATATCGGACCCTTCGACAACATCTACCACACCATCTCTCGCGGTCTCGCCGATGACGCTGCGCTCGAAGGGGACGAGCCGGAGGAAACGCGCGTAGATATTCACTACTGTTTTGTTCTCCTCTAACCTATTCCTCAGGCTCGGATGGAAACGCCGTAATGAGTCGTGGCGGTCCATTTGGCAATCTTTTCCCGGATTCCACGAGCTGTTGCTGGAAAATGCCAAGGATGCCAACTTGATCAAGGCCATTGCTCGCCAGGTATGTTATTCAAACTTGTGACGACTGCCCTGATGCGTCTTTAGATCACCGAGGGCATGGAAAGTGCCCGCTCCGACGACACCGGTACCCTCAAGACTCGTATTCTCGCTTGGCTCACCCTGGACCCAAAGACCGCGCTCACCCCCGCTATCTCTGGTGCCTCAAAGACGCCTCGCGGCTTCAATCACCCCACCACTGCAGAGCTCTTGTGTCCGCTTGAATACGACGCTAATCAAAGGTATGCCTGTTCCTCTTTTACTCTGTGTATTCTATTGACTCTTTGGTAGTACCTACGACGCCATCGCTTCTGGCACAAAGGATCTCAAAGGCGACCAACTTCCTCGGTTTCTGTTCCCATTCGGTCAGGCCGACGACACCTCAGCGCTTGACACGTTTTGTACTGGCCCTGTTATGCTACGGGTGAGATCCTCCATATAGATTTAGCTCTCTACTCACATTCTCTAGTCATCTAAAGCGATCTTCATGGGCCCCGCGTCGGCACTGGAGGGCGATGGATATCACAAAGGCAAGGCATCGAACGCGGCCATCATGGGTGCGACGACTTTCACCATACGTATGATTGCTTACATCGCTTGTCAGGTAATGTATGTCCATCACCCTTATATATATGTGCTAACTATTCTATTACAGGTCCGCTTCGCTCTCTCCTCTGCCCAGGAATGGAACAAGATGGACGGCAACTTCAACTACGAAGAGTTCTTTTGGAGAATCATCAACGAGTTTGAGCAGGATCCCGAGCAAGCGCAACGCACACTTGCACTGTACAACCGGTACTTTCCTGTCCTTCCCTTTCTTCTTATTGCTGATTCCTTGCAGTGTTGTCCTTGGAGCATCCACTTCCAACACAGCAGCCGCAACCTCAGCCTCGGCACCGACTGCACCCGCAATGACCCACATGGAGCGCCTGAAAGCTGCTCGTGCCGCTGAGCACGAGGCCGCACACGCTGCCGAGCTCGCTGAGCACGAGGCTGCACGCGCCGCTGAGCCCACTGCTGCTACTGCCACTACTACTGCCCCCTCTACCTCGGAAGCTACTGTCCCCCCTGCCTAATCTATCTTGTATACCGTATCTGAATCAATTTTAATTTTTGCTGCGTTTTTTTTGGTTGCCGCGAACGGAAATTATGAGATTCTATATCTGATCTGGCAAAATATATATAATTCTGGCACCACATTCCCAGCGAGCATGGATGTTTGGGAAGCCATTCTCTGAGAGCGAGTACCAGTACAAGGGTCCCAAGACCATATAAACCCTGGAAGCCTTACGTGTTTCGGCTTGCCAGGTGTGCCTTATATGTCACCATGGATGTTTGGGAAGCCAAGTTGAAAAACACATAAGGCTTATGGGGTTTCCGTGACTTGTGTGCCTTATATGGTCTTACTTGGTTTGGGATACCTCGTCCGCTTTTGGTGATGAAGGTCAGCGGCGACACGAATCTTTTTGGCGGACAGAGGAGTTGAAAAATGAGATGTAGAAAATCTATTTGGAAGAACTCGACCGCGTAAACTTCGAGAATAATGGTCTTGCAGGAGAACTGGAGGTGAGTCCCTCCCTACACACATTATTGTATACCGTGTTCTGATCTCGGCCTTCAGGGTTACCGACAACTTTATTCAAAGGCAATCCAACTGCCCCATGAGATATTACTCATCATCTTTCACCATGCTTCGGTGCCCAGTTGGCTTCTCAACAGGATAGACGGATATCTGGAAGCTTCTCATTCCATTTTCTGCTGCGACTTGCGCATGAAGATGTCTATTATGGGTGTTTGCAAAAGCTGGCACCAGATCGGGATTGAATTGCTCTATGAAAATGTTGTGCTGCGAAGGATCGGCCAGTTGCCTGCGTTCGTTCGGGCTTTGGAAGGCTGCGTAGGACTGGGTGCCCTTGTCTCCCGCTTAAACTTGAGCTGCTTCGTTCCCCGTGGATACTCGCTGTTGTTTCAAAGGGAAACGCAGAACCTCATCAAGCTTTGTCCACAACTTGTGCACATCACATTCAATCCGCCTTTCATTATTCCGACTCTGGCCTATGCGCTGCCACCCATCGGTTCCACTATCACCAGTCTCGAGTGCAGCAGCGCCGTAGATGCCTCTGTCGTTCTTGCCCTCCTGGTCCAGCTTTTCAAAACGCTCAAGTCCCTTTCCTTTACTCCACCAGAATCTTGGGACGACAATGTCCCCGAACTGGTGTTTGAAAACTTGGAAGATCTTTATCTTCACTTCGCGCTGCCTCCACTGAAGTGGACAATGCCGCATTTGCGGAGATTTTGGTTGGCTGGGAAGTATCGGCCAGCCCAAGACATGAACAGATGGTTTAGTGCACATGGACCCACTCTTATATTCGTGTCGTGGCGCTCCGGGTACAAGTATATCCCAGATATTTTAACCAGGTGTCCCGCTTTAGAGCATCTGGTGATACGTGAGCACACCGTGCTAGCTCCGCTTGCGACGACTGGGCATACCCACCCTCACCCTCGACTGTTACATCGTGGAAACACGATACACTCAAGTCCCTTGACATCTGGATAGAACATTTCAGGTTAAATGTCGCGTCTTCTGACATTGACGATTGGAAAAAAGTATTCCCTACTTTGCGCACGTATCGAATCCTCGATAACACATTTGGATATTTGGTGGACTTGCCTATAAGATCATCCCCTTATGCAGTGCAACCAGGATCTCCTTCCCTTCCAGAAAATATACAGGAGGATCCGATGGCCATCGTCCGCGAATTCATCCATCCCGAGTCGGTGGATGGAAATCCACTCGGTTCAATACGCGAAATCAACAGCGAGTTGGAGGACGACGAGGGTAATTCAAGCTCCGGTGATGAATATGTGGGCGATGGCGAGGACGATGGCGGATCCGTGAACTCAGATAATTCGGATTCGGACAGTGGTTCATGCCTCACTGACAGTGAAGTCGAAGACGATTTATGGCAAGACGAGTTTTACATCGACGAATATTGGGAGGTTGATCGCGCCCAGGCGTTGGACATTTTTTCGGGTACTATTGACTCGGATTGACAAGTGCTGAAGGTCACCGAGGACGGGGTTCAATTATCGGTACAAAATAGCTGGCATCGTGTTTCGTAAATTCTACCACTAGTACTGAGAGGACTGCGCGACCCACTCCGAATCAAACCGGCCCCTTTCTCAACCGGCCCCTTTCTTTCGGGTACGTCAACACGAAAACATGCCCCGACATACGTCTCGAGGTTGTTTCGCATCCCCGCACGCATATTCTCCCCTATTAAGGGATCGCGGAATTCGAGCTTGACGCGCTCGCGCACGTAGTCGCCGAAGGGCTCCGCAGTGGAGTGGCAGACCTGGATGACATTGAACAGCCGCTGTTGGATTGAAGGAAACCACCGTTAGAGATTTGTTCCCAAACGAGCGGTATCTTCAGGGTTCTGGCGTAGAAATAGGTAGTATTGGCGTATCTATGCAATATCAAAAATAATTGAAAGACGGAAGAAAAGAGAGAAGTTGCTCTACAAGAGAGTAGATTCCAAAGATTGCGGTTCGACTGTAGCTTGCAACACAAACGGGCGTCTCTAGTAAAAGGCGAGAAACGCGTTTGTTTTTATGTTGCAAAGTCGCATATGAATCCTCTAGAAAATTGAGGGGTGATGAATACAGTTTTGTACCGTGCTCGGCGTTCCGGGTCGACGTCGTATTTAGCACCCGTCGGCAATTGTATGCGCTTTGGGTTGGCTCTGGAGCAGCTCTCTGCCCTGGGTCGAGTCGTGCTGGACGTCCCAGTAAATGAGGTCGAGCCAGTCGTGCCGCACGGGGACGAAGGGGCCGTAAATTGGGGTCCAGCGTGTCTGTGGGTTATTAATTATTAGGAGGAACTGATAAGCAGACGCGCGGACTCCACGAAGGGGTGCCCGCCAGGGCGGTGCGGGAACGCGTCCTGGAGCGCGCGTGTCTGTGCTTCAAAGTCCGCGAAGGAGATCCCGGCCGCGGAGGCCATGTTGCGTAGCGCGGCCTGACGGTGTCGGTCGCGCTCGGCGAGTGCGAGCGATTCGAGTTGCCAGGAGGGCTGTCTGGCGTGCAGTCGGGACGCAGAGTGAAGTGGAACGGGCTCGGGCTTCAGGTTTTCTTGACCGCGTTTTCACCTCTTTTTCCTGAACATGGTTGGGTTCGGTCACACTGGTCACGATTGTTTACCATCCGGCAGACGGAACAGACCGGCATCTGGTCCAAGCGTTGGATCACATCAAACTGTGGAAGATGTGTACAGAGCTTCTGGAATTATGCATAAATGCTTGAAGAGTCCCTTTCTCAGGTTCCGAGATACTGCACTTATTACACTTCGAGCGCAGAAACGTTGAACACACCATATCCGTACCAAAATGATAATATTGATATCAAGAGCAACTGATGGTCGTTGCGCTCGGTCAAATATACACATTTACAGGCTGACTAATTTAGCTCAGAGTGAAATAAAATAAAATAATGGGGACTGAGAGAATCGAACCCTCGGCTCGTCGCATGCGCTAATTCTCGGTATTAACACACGGGCTCAACGGGTCGCTTCCAGACCCGACGCGTGTAAACCACTACACCAAGTCCCCGTGTGGTTTTATGCAATTTTGGTCTTTTTACTATCGAGAATTTCTAAGGTCAGCGAATTCGAACTCGGAATTTCTTCTCGCCGAAAGAAGAAGTCGTTGTATATGATGCAGATGGTTAGATGGAAATCGAGATTCGTCATACGATGTAGCGATAATGTCAACCTTTTGCATGAAAATTTATGCATAAGAGACTGCCATCATTACGCCGGATGTGACCAGCCAAACCACTCCACGGTGATCATCCACAGCCAACACAGTTGGCGGAGGCGCTTGGCCGCCAACTCCGGCGGGTAGCTCCAGCTCATGGGCTAAACAGACGTCGGCATCTGGGAGGCAGCAAATGAGGTGAAGGCGGCATTCTCCTGCGAGGAGCGCTGAGGTTTTACTCAACTTTGGTCTTTATACTATCGCGAATGTCAATGCATGTGGATTCGGCTTCGTTTGTCAGTGATAATTTTGAACACTACGAGTCTGGATTTGCTTAAAGCCCCCCACCTTCTGAAGTATAAAATTCCCCGCAACGCAGGCCTGAATTCTCTCCAGCGCGCGATGTACACCTCGGGTCAATTTGTTCGTGGTAAATATTTCCCCCGCATATCAGCGCTGGTCATTCCCTCTAACTCCTCTCCGTCATTGCACGCAGCACCTCCCTGTCACCACTCTCTTCCACCAGCGCTCTTAGATACCCGTCCTGCTGCTGCAAAAGCGTGCTCGGAGCGTCAAATTCTACCTGTTTGCCGCGCAGATTCAGCTACTTGGCATACCACCGGCTACAAGCAAGTGGCTCACAATTTCCCCCGCATGCAGCACCATCTTTGAGTGCACAGAAAAAATCAGTAAATGGATAGTAGGAACGCAGCACTGAAGGATCCAGACCCACAATCCTGTCAAAGTCCATGATGGTCTGCAGTCGGTGCGCGATGGTGATCACCGTCACGTCCGACTTTAACTCGTGCCGCAGTGCAGACTGGATGGCCGCGTCCGTTTCGTAATCTAATAAGCAAGGAAGTAATTCGAGATGAACTCGTCTGCATCTATAATAATAATGAATGCATATACCAATAGCCGACGTGGCTAAAGTGGCGAGGTGGTAAGTAAAATAGGGCGAAATAAGGGACGGAAGTGATCCAATCACACCCACCTTCGTCGAGAATGAGCAGTTTGCTGTCCCGGACAATCGCGCGCGCTGTATACATAGGGGAAGTACATCAATTAGTACATACAACATGCTCGCGGAGACACACATACCTAAAGCCAGAATCTGGCGCTGCCCGGTGGACAGGTTTGTTCCCCCACTCGCGATGGCACTCTCAAGCGTGAGATGCTGCCCGCCCTCCTCAACCGCGTCTTGGAGCTCATAGAACCCCGCGGAGCGCAATGCGTCGTGCAGTATCGCGTCCTCATATTCCCCAAATGGATCCAGGTTGGAGCGGAGCGTCCCGCGGAGCAGCTCGGGCTGGTGGTTGAACCTCATAATCAGCCACAGGGAAGTGGGGATCTGAAATTGAATCAGCCTGGGCATAAGGACGCACCACCTGCGGGACAATCGTAATTTTCGAGCGCAAAACATTGAGATCCAGTGAATTCGTCATGACGCCGTCGTACGTTACCGAGCCCTCGGTGACTAGACACCGCAGCAGGGCGAGAACCAGGGAACTCTGGTGGTTCAACATATTGACACGTGATCTTTGGTTCAAATACCATCTCAACATACCTTGCCGCTTCCGGTTCGTCCAACTTTGGGCGACGCTCAGCCAGTCAGAGATAATAATAAAATGTGATGGCTTCATTATTCTCACCGACACCGACGCGCTCCCCAGCCCGCACTTCGAAAGATATGTTACGCAGCACCGGCGGTCCATCCTGGTCGAGACACAGGTGATTCAGCAACAGCGAGGAGTCATGGATATTAAAATGAAACCCGCCTCAGAATATCTGGCTGTCAAGTTGTTCACGAGCAGATGCCCGGATGCCGGCCAGAACGCGGGCGGGGCCGTCACCTTCCTTGTGGGATCCTGTTGCTGCTCGACGTTAATGTAATCGAGGATGCGCTCCAAGCTACATAGTCAATGTTATCATTGGCTGAAAGCCAATTTAAAACAGCCACACTTGCCTATTTCCTGTGCGTAATCATTTCACCATGCGCCCCATAAATCTTCACACTAATAGAAAGAACCAAACGAACCACTCAACTCCGCAGTGTTGAAGTACCTGACCCACACAAGTACCATCGTGCTATACCCAAAGGCGTTGTTCAGGAGGAAGCCCGTGGTCGCCGCGTCTTCGCGCTTGATGTACACCAGGTATGTCGCTAGCAGCGTGGTGAATGTGCCGCCGAGGAAGTCAGAGCGGCATGCGATCCAGCTGCGCAATAATAATATGAGAATGGTGCCAAGCTGGACGTGGTATAACTCGTACCGATTGAGATTATGGTATGTTATGGCGGTGCGGGTATATCGGTCGATGCGAGTCAGAGATTCTTGGAGGAACAGCTCTTGCGCGCCGTAGGCGCGGATGGAAGCTAAATAAAGTCATTAGCACATTCAGCGCGCTTACATAGGAACAAAACTGACGCAATCCAGCCATTATCGCAGAAAGGCTGGGCGAGTAAATAAACAAACAACACGAATATCAGTTTCAACCAAAACTCACTGGCCCAAAATAGGGGATCTGGCATTGCTCATCTCGCGCTTGATGGGCAGCTGCGCTTTCATGAACATCTGCCCAAAGAGCCCGCCGATCAACGTGATGAGAAGGCCGGGAATGACGAAGGCGGGGCTGAAGAGTACGACGGTCCCGAAGCGTGTGGAGAGGCCGATAGTCAGCTGGAGGACGCGCACGCAGGCGACAGCCATGGAGTCGTCGACTGCCAGGAACGTCGATGCGTACTTCGGAGGGAAAGGGATGAATATTAAATACCTGTGCGCATGTCTTGAGTTGCCCGAGCCAGTACACGAGATGTCGGAGTCAGATCCAGCCAACTATTATGTGCAGGTTCAGCACTGTGGCTGAATTGCGTGCAGACAAGATGTTACCGCATAGTACAACCAACAATGGACCTCATCAGGCGGTTATGTATGACCCGCGATGCCCGCAGGGAGCCGAAAGTGAAGACAGTGAAGTACCAGGAATAAAAGAGCATTGAGCTCGCTAAAATAAGCGCGTATATGGACAGGTAGCTTTGGATGTTATTCAGCTGCACGTCGTAGGAAAACGGAATTGCTGCTTACTATGCAGGAGATACTTCAGCTGCCGGCCGATCTTCGTACTGCGTGGACCAGTAGCCGAGGAACCAGGCCTGGACGATTAGAGATATTTCGTTAAGTGCGATCCCTCCGAGAAGCGCCACCCAGAAAATTAGCGGGTAGCCGTTGAGGCTCGATAAGTAGAGTTTAACTAAGGTATGCGTTTTAAATCAATGCAGACGAAGTGAAATACGTGACTTACATGCCGCCCATTTTACGTGTCCTTCCGCTACTTCCTCCGTCATCAAAACTTTGCCAGTGGTTTCAACAGCGGCTTTCGATGAATCGGCTGTCCGTCGATTTTCTAATGGTTCATCGCTGGCGGCGATAACGCTGGCAGTAGCGACAAGAGCCGCATCTAGGGGGCCTTGCTGGATTGAACCATCTGGCGCCAGGATGACCATGAATCTGGCGATGCGGCTCGCGAGCGGTATGTTATGGGTGACCAGGAGAATCGTTCTACCCTCGATCAAGTCGCTGGCAAAGCACTTCTCGACGATCCAAGTGGCGGTTTGCACGTCAAGTGCAGCTAGCGGGTCATCCAACAGCAGAATTTTGGCAGTGGAGTAGAGGCAGCGAGCGAGTGTGATTCGAGCCTTTGAACTTGATCAGATAAGGTGAAAGGAGAGGAGATAAAACAATCAACCTTTTGGCCACCGCTGGAAATAACGGGTCATTAATGAATTGAATAACATTGGATTGCATTACCTCAAGGTCAACCCGCGTTCCCCGACCACGGTGAGGTCCCCCGATTCGAACAGGGCCAAATCAGGTGTTAGTCCGCATTCGTGCAGTACTATCAGAATTTTACTTCTCGAGCAGAAAAATAGACGACTGAAGCAACTTGCCTTTTCTGTATCGCTCTTCGTCGTGTGGACCCCCCATCAGAACATTTTCCTTTAAATGATGGGTCAAGAGGTGGCTCTACTGGATTAAAAGGTGCGCGTACTCTAATCGTTGTGTTCTGAAGCCAAGACTCCTGCGGCGCATATGCGATGCCCTTGGTCCGGTCGATACCGAACCACGAATCAGCTGCGAGTGGTGTGAACCGCATCTCGCCTGAAATAAATCAGCGTGGGCCCACGTACAGGAATTGATCATACCAAGAAGCGCTAAAAGCATCGAAGTCTTGCCTGATCGTCCGTAATGAGGATGCATGAAAATTAAAGTTGAAGGCAAAACGCGCACCACTACCAGTCGGTCCAGTTATAAGATTTATCGTGCCGGAACGGAAAATCAGCTCGTTCTTGACCTCCAGCTTGAAATTCGTGTCAGGTTCGTCTGTCCACGAGAAGCTGGCCATGCGAAAACCGATCATTCCCTCAAAAGCCGCTGGACTACCGGAATGTCTAGGTTCAGGCGCAAGGGAGTCCAATAACCCCGTCTGCTTCATTAGTTCAACGCGACTAAGAGGGGGAGGGAGCCCACATTCTTCAAGAAATTATCTAAACGGTCAGCAGAAACCTTTCCCTGTATCACGATTGGAATAGCTAGCAGTACTTGGCGGAGCTGAAGCCTGAACAGCTCAAAGACAGCCATAGAAGAGAACACAATCGAGGCTTCTCGGAGGTTAGGAACGTACAGGAAAGTTATAAACCAAGACTTGCCAGTTAGCGCTTGCTTCATTATCGACGTCTGCACAGGCGGTTAGGATACAATTCGCAGTTCATATGGGCCTCACTTACGTATACCGAATAGGCTGCTATCATTGTTAGGATGGGAATGAGGAAGCTGTAAATTATCTTGAAATGGGCC